ACAGATTATGGTGACTTGATTTGACTTAATATGCTCATGTACATGTTGCATTGCATCATTAAAAGTATGGAAATATTTTTCATGTCAGTGTTATCAACCAAAAGGAAAGGGACCCTGATAATCTGTCATTGAATTGTGCAACAATGTCAACAATGTTTTGCATTTTATGTTAACTTTTATTTATACAAAAAGTGCATTTTCCTATATTTTTAATCAAATGAAGATCAATTCATGAACTGACTTGTTGTTATGCTACATTGGATATCATAAATTAATAAGTTTGAAAAATGCCTTGCTTCTGTGAATGTCTGGACTAATAATAAAATGTTGCTAATGTGAATGGTTGAATTCATAATAAAATGTTGAACTCTCAAACAACAGCCATGTTACATGTACTTCCTAATGAACCAAAATGAAGTACAAGAATGCTGAAATAATTTCTGACAGCTTCATGCTGTTCAGTTAAATCATATCTGACAGCAATATTTCTTGTTATAAGACAACCCTGCATACTGTCTTCTTTGAGTCCTGAAGGGTCGATCCCAATGGTCAGCTCAAATTTCTCCTTACATCTATCCTTTATGTAAAAAGTTGCTTCTATGAAAGGTTGAACTTATGATTACACATTAAACTCTCTAAAACTATAACTGTTATTATCCAGTGAACAAGAAAAATGAAGTACAAGATAACTGAACTAGCTTCTGACAATTCCACGATGTTGGGATAAATCAGGATTTCTTGTCTTTGGACTGTCCTGAGTTTATATGGGTCGATCCCGCTGATCAGCTGTAGTTTTCACATGTATATACACTCTTCCTTTTGGTGTACTTGATCGCGATATGCATTTTAGTTTATTATATTTGGTTTACCTATATTTACGCTACTAATCCCCGTAGTTCTTTCCCTCCAGTATGGCTGCTGGACTAGTGTTACGGAGCAAATATGACGTCACTGTAATGGGTTAATAGTCTGCGAATAGCGAGGCAGCATGGCTGCATGGAGTTTGCGAGAAGTTTGCAAGTGAGACGTGCGTGGTCCAAGACCTGTATTTTATCAATATCCATCAGTTTTGTAGCTCTAACTTTGGGGACAACAGGCTAAACGGTTTTCAACATATCGTATAATATCTGAAAGTGCACTGGGACGGCATCGACGGACGCAGGTGATGGCCCTTTATACAGGTACAATATGTGTCTGTACTCTGAATGAACATAATGAATGGGCGAAATCTCCGAAATGCGCATGCGTGTGACTTGACCTCTTTCTCACGACCCTCATTCACAGCATTCAGTCTTGTCTATTACTCATTTATAGTTAACATATGACCTCTAGGGAATTCTTTCAGGCCTTTCGAGACTTAGTTTGTCAGATATTGAAATTTTGAGCAACGAAGGTGAGTTTTAAGGAGAAAGAGACTAACACCTCGCAGTTTCGATCTTTAGCCTACAGTTCCGACGCAAAAGAAAGCGGAAATCTGGCCGTGAAAAAAAAAAACTGCCTCGCCCACTCACAAATTGAGGAAAAATCTTTTCTACACTCTTCAAAGCCTTTTGGAACTGATGTGGTGTGCTTCAGTGGATACTCTGAATGCTTGAGGGATCGGGTCCCAAGGCAGAGAAAAAAGTAATGTTTCTCGCTTCTCTTCCATTTTTATAGCATGGCACCAAAAGCGGCCGGCTGGAAGAATCATAGCAGAATCGGTTACAATGGGATGTGTTGAAAACGACCACCGACGTACACCTGCAACTTGCCTCAGTTTTCAGTTTTCGCCCTTACAAGCTCAGGGTATTCTTACCGTGAGCTTGTAAGGCCGACAACTGGACAAACCTGCAACCCTCACAGCCAGTCACTAAAAGTTCTTGTCCTGGAGTCGGGGAGACTCAATGAGGAAAATGCTTTGGTTCTGTATGGAAGCCAAATGCAGCACACCAAAATCACCTCAACTAGTTATATTTTACCCCCAGTGATCTGAACATTCATAATCTATCACAGCAAAACTCAAGTAGTAGTTTAAAATCTGGATTGTTCTTTTCTGAGATGCCACATTTTTGGCAGGGTCGCCAGATGGGAATATCAGGTGTACATGTACATATTTTGGTCTTGGGGCTGTTGAAATCAAATGTCCAAATCACTTTGGTGTTGTGTTTGTGCTGTAGTTGTCCAGTGGACAGTAATTTGTGACAGACGTTTGGAAATGCACTGGGTCAGAAAGGTGGCAAAGAGTCCAAAGGAAACTGAGGAAGTGGCCAATTAGTGCCTTAATTGCTTAGTTTTAGCCCTTCATGCATAGCATGTACCAAGTTCTGTGTTAATTTACAATGTTTAGTTAATTTACCTTTTCTTAAGTTTCTTTGATATGTCTGCGATTGGTCATGTTGGCATGTGTAAAAATTAAATGTGTAAAAATGACCACCTCTTCCTTTGGTTAACTCCTGAAGGGACAAAAATATTCAGAAAATAACCAAAAATGACTAGAAATGACAATTTTATTTGTGTATCTAAGTTTTTACAGAATGATTTAATGTTAACTATAATTCTCATTCTTCAGGTTACTCGGTGACAATCCATTTAGTAATGTGCCAGGGTTCATATTTCGAAACCTCACGAACTTGACCCTGCTGTAAGTATGAATACACTGTTTTTATTTTTTGCTCTTTATTTATTTTTCACTCCGCGAAGTAACTGAAAGAGAGCATTCAGAAGAATGTTGATAAGTGGACTAACAGATTCAGGGATCAAATATGGCTGACCCACTTGAAAGCTGGCCACGTAATCCCCCCTGGGAATTTATTCAGTGTCTTTTCAGGGATTATGTGGCAAGCTTTTAAGTGGGTCAGCCATGTTTGATCAGCAGATCTGTTAGTTGACGGATCAATTCTGTTATGAATGCGTGCATATTGTACTTTTTGCTCACATGCATGGGTACGTGTTGGTTCAAGTTTCTGCTTGTGTTTGTAAATTTTTTTAAAAATCCTTTGTCTTCACTCCTTCACACACATTCTGAAGTCATTAGCGCTACTTTAATTTTGAAGATGTTCTTGTCAACTTTGCATGTACATACTTTTCTATACATAAGGTCACCAGTAGATTTGCACTGAAAACTATGAGAAATTTTTTGTAGTTGGCTTCCTCTTAATACCAGTGAAACGTTTGAGATGAGACTGCCTCAGTTTAAAAGCTTAAATGTGCCACTTACATTGAGTATTACCTAGAGTAAAGTCTTAAACTGAGGCAAAATGAGGATGATGCCCCATTGATCATAATTAAGCAGCAAATAAAAAAAAGAAATGGGGCATGATAAGTTTCCTTTCACCCAGCACGTGAAATAAAAAATAAAAAGAAATGGGGCATGATTAGTTTCCTTTGACCCAAAATGTGAAAACAATCAGAGAGAAAGCACTTAAGTTTAAAGGGCACAATTAGTATAAAAGAAATAATAATAAAGCAAATACCATTCATTACTAATTCCATATTTTGATAAAGAAAAATTAATTAAGTTTTAGCAAATGTCCCCACTGTACTTGTACTGAAAAGGCATTTTATTATCTAAAACAACTTTGCTGTTCTAGGTACATGCAGTCCAACACTACCATTCAGAGAATCGAAGAGTTTGCTTTTGAAGGATTATTCAAATTGATATCTTTGTAAGCCAAATTGACTTAAATTTTGTCCAAGTTAATAGTTGTACTAACATCAGATTATGTTTTGTACATGTTTCCATCTATAGATTTTATAAATCTACAATAAGTTATCTGGCAGGATGTTAATATGGGCTTGGGCATTTTGCCTGGACCTTGTTATAATATTACTTCTACCACATATGATCTTACCCATGGGATGACAGTTTCAGTAAAAAGACTTTTCAATAAGATTATTTGTAATAAATTTGATATTCTTTTTTGTTTGATTTTAGGTCAATTAAATCCAATGTAGAAAATATCTATCGTAACACATTTGTGGGTCTGAGGTCTCTGACTAATTTGTAAGTAAAAATAAGGAATTGTAAAAGTATACCTTCAAATACATGTATGAGTTTTGCATTCATAGTCTTAAATTTAGTTAAGTTATTTAATAATAATAATAATGATAATAATAATAATATCAAAATGAAGGAGATGAGCAAGAGAACATATTGAAGACTCATTTACTCCTGCATCTGATGTAAATGAGTGTGTTTAAACTAGTGGTTTCCTTTTTTTCTACATTTAGAAATTTTCATTTCAGGACATTGGGTACTGTCCAATATATTGCTCCTGATGCCTTCATCAACACACCAAGATTGTCAAGTCTGTAAGTAGTGCATTAATGTGGATGGTAATGCATTGTCTTTAACATCCCCTTTGCAGATTATTACAAAAACCTGCAGGGAATACCTCTCCCCAATCTTACCCTCCCCTCCTCTCCCTCCCCCCACGGCCCCCTCATATCCCTAACTTTTCTTTTTACATGCAGATAAACACAAATAAAAAGGGAACATTGTGTACCCCTTTGCTTCACTCCATATAAG